TAGTAAACGACAAATTATTTCATATTTTCTATTGTTTTATATTATTTTCCAATAATGCAGTAATGTACATATTTTCCAACAGTAATGTACATACAACAGTTTACTTGATATTACTTTTTGATATCACTGTTTTATAAATCAGTTTTGTAGAAAAAGAAATTTTTGTAGTATCATACATTCTCTATTTTGTAAAACAGATTTGATAGAGAAAGAAGTTTTAGTAAATAAAAAAAATAACGTACAAAAGTTTACTTGGTGCTATTTTTTGATATCACTTCTTTTGTAAAACAGGTTTTTAGGGAAAGAATGTTTTGTAATATTTATATAATTATTATTTAATACAATACGTGTTGTGCGTGTACTTGGCGCCTATTTTTACCTTTTTTTAAAAGGTAAGTTTTTCAAGAATAGTAAACTAAACTAAATTTAATCTCAACAATTGTAACACATTTATTTTATAGTAAACTAAAGTAACTAAAACTTATATATAAATATGAAGAACAGTTTGAGTTAAGTTTATAATTTAATTCAATTCAATTTAAATACAGTACGTGTGTTGTGCGTGTACTTGGCGCCTTTCTAACCTTTTTTTGAAATGGTAAGTTTTTTGAGATATCACACATTCTCTATTTTGTAAAACAGGTTTTATAAAGAAAGAATGTTTTTGTAGTATTTTTCACACATTCTCTATTTTGTAAAACAGGTTTTATAGAGAAAGAATGTTTTTGTAGTATTTAAATAAATTAAATACAATACGTGCTGTGCGTTTACTTGNCGCTTGTTTTTACCTTTTTTTTAAAGTTACGTTTTTCGAGAATAGTAATTTAATCTGAATAATTGTAACACATTTATTTATTTATTTTTTTCAAGAAAAGAATATAAACATTTTTTGCATTTTTTGGTCAGTAGTATTTTTTAATTTGCGTATCATCAATTCCAAGCCAGCTAGATTATTCTTCTCTACACATACTTGTATAATGATTGTTTTCAATACACAGCCCATTATTAAATATGGCATTCATTACTTTGTATAGCTGTCCACTTATTGACACTTTAGTCGTTGGTACAGCACGTATATTTAGATTTTTTGCTAATATTACTTTACCATCTTCTGAAAATAATAGAAAATGATTGATAAGTATTTCTTTTGTCAATGTTAATTCTCTTTTACATATTTTATCATTCTTTTTACAAGTGTTACATAAATCGTTGATTGATTCACACCAATGAGAAAAGGTAACATTTAATAAATCGTTAAGATCATAACTTTTTTTCTCTAAATTAATGACAGGGATTGAGATTACAATATTATTGGATATAACTGTATTTGTATATTCACAATTTTTGCACCGTGTAGTGAAAGTTACTTCATGCTCGACTACAGTCTTTAT